CTGTCGCTGTTACTTGCCGTGCCGGAAGTTACCGTGGACGTTAGAGAGAATCGAGGATTCGTAGCCCCGATTTCATTTTTAAACGAATTCGAAATGTTAGAGTAACATAGAAATCGAATGAACATTTATATCACTTGTTCGTGTAGTGAAATGTTATTAGTTTAGCTGATTTTATGCATTTATAACAGAGTTGGGCAGTATTTTATTTGAATAATACATACTGAAACGATAATATCTAAGATCGTTATCTTGACCTTTCTACAGTTAATGACATCATGTTTGCTGTGTGCATACTAATTCGAAAAGAAATATTACTTTATTATATAAATTGGAATTTCCACGTTCAATCAATTGGAAATGGCGAAGTACATACATAGTTGTTTATCTTTTATTCGTTATTTGGAAATCTTTATCTAGATAATGAGTTTGCCCATCACTGATTTCTAGCCTCTGTGAGATACAATAAAAAACATTTTCATCAGTTGCAACGAATGTTTTGTTTTATTCTAAACCCAAATACTTATATTTGCACTTGTCTTTATGAATTACTTTAGAAAATGTCATTCTGCATACAAATTCGGAGTCTAGTTATACTATTCACAAAAACCACAATCAGACGTCATCGCGGGGGTTGAATAGAACACAAGAATTAAAGACCTTAAACTCCATTTAAAATGAATTTGGAAATCTGTGTTTTGTTCAGACTGAAATAAAATAATATTAATCAATATATAATCGCTATACACTGCGTGGAATAACTATAAAACCATCCTAAAAGTTCTAATCCTTTCATGTATTGTGGTTAAAATAAGAACGAACCATTTTTTTGTAAGGAATATTATCTATTCTTTTCTGGTGAAACATTATTTCTTAACACGATTTCAGACATGCCAATACTTGGTTCCTTTTCATCTTAACTACAATGCATAAGAATTGAAAATTTTAAATATTTGCGTCACGCAACGTATTTATACGATTGATGAAATTTTAGTAGTGGTAGTGGGTGCACCGGAAGTTGACGTTGCTGATCTTCCGAAAAATGGAGAATACGCGCCATTAACGAAATTGTACTACAATTCTTCAACAGTAACAAATTGGCACATTAAACAACGGAAAAAGATTTTAACACATTGTTTGTGGAACTAAAAAAATAATCCGTCGTTAAAAAACCCGTATAAATACGGGACCTGACTTCCACCAGCATAAAATGAAAAACGGATTTTTACGTGTCTCGTAAACTACCACCAGTCTAAAAAAATGGATTTATCCGTGTTCCGACAACAATGTGTTAATATAAATACGTTTCTTACTGATTCTCAGAAAGAAATTTCGATAAATAGTGAGTTGTCGACGCAATGTATGAGTATCGGGCTAGATAATATCGCAATAGAAGGGCTTGAGAACGCGTTTGCCACCGAGCAGGTGTTCGATGGTGGAAGATACCCTGATACACATCCTTACAAACAGCACATATGTTGCTCATAACATCCGTGCAACCTCGACGTATTGTCAGCCAGATCGCAGCGGTGAATTCGCTCTTCATGACCGATCGATTATCCACGGTGAACTGTGGATCTTAGGTCCCGTATGTTTCAGAACTAATCAGAATTATCGTTGAAAGTATCATCCTCTTCGTCACACTCATCTTTGAAGTATTAACCATTGAATTGTGTTGGCATATTAATTGAACACCAAGAACCATGTCTGTTATAATTGGACCAAGTTATGCAGAAACCTACCAACCGTCGAAATGACAAAAAATTAGATGAACATGGTACAAGTTATTTTGCAAAAAGTTACCAACCCGTAGAACAACCCTTACCTTAAATATTTATTAAAACTACCAAGCCATAGAAAATTAAAAATAAAACTGAAATGAACTACAGATAATTTTAACAAATATTAGTTATACTACTTGTTATTACATATGCCATTACAAAACTTTGTAAAACAACAACAGGGAATAAAATATACCCAATAGAAATAAAGCCACTTTTCTTTTATAATTAAAATCTTCAAACTAACTTTTACCTCGTTTCAGATTATTAAGGGTTGGTAATTTTCTGCATAACCTGACCCAATTGAGCATTCGGAGGTCCCCATAGTTTGGAGCGTTAAATGAGAAATTGTTTGTAAACGTCCAATGATCCAGGCGACATTAAGTAAAGGCTAGGTTCCTTCGGGACAACGTCCACGTACAAACGAAAGATAAATAACTCGGTCTTATCCAAGAAATGTAGCGGCCAAACATGGGCATCGCGACGACGCAACAAATCGTGGACGCTTTGCAGGACGTTTCCCACGTGCTCCCGTGGGTATATCGCCCGACAGATAGATCCTCGACTAGGAACGGTGGGGGGATGGGGACAAGGAGAAGGAACGATTGCGAGGATCCTCACCACGAATCTTAGCTGATCGTCCAGTTATTGTATCGCCTCTACGTGATGCTATTCAGGGGGAAATGAAGAGGGTAGAACGTCTAACTGATACAGGAACAAATAAAAAGAAAAAGTGATAAGAAACGAGACAAAGATTGAAGTTTTTCAAGAAAAATGGATAAGTTTACTAGAGTCAAGATCTGATGAATCTAATGGGTGTTACTGTTCACTTGAACTAACTCAACGAAGTTATTCTACATTCCATACAGTTAACACTCGTGGTGCGGAGAGA